CCCCCCGCCCCTCGTCAGACCATTCACTGATGCATGGCACCCGGTTTGGGTCTTCCTCTCGCCCTGGTTTCCTCGTTCCCTCGTTCCCCCCCCCCCACCCCCCGGCGGGCTTAGCTGGTGGCCGTCCTTCACATGTATCACCAGCACTACCAACGCGTGACCCGAGTGACCACCGGGGCATTGTCCCTCCCGCCGGCCATCGCCCTGGCCGCGGAGGAAATCCACTCCTTCGGGCTGTATGTGGACCAGCTCCGGGCCGAGGCCGAGGGCAGCACGGCCGCCTCCCCCGGGTCCATGACTCGGTCGCGCTCGGACTGGGAGCTCCTCTCGCTGCCCGGGCTCGATTCCAACACCGGCATCGACAGCAGCAGCTTTGTGGGCCGGTCTCGGGCGGCCGGTGGCGGCCCGGGCAGCACGTCGTCCCTCAGCGGGGGGATGGGCCCCGGCGGGAGCCGGGCCTCGGCCACGCAGTCCGTCCGCACGACGGCCCTGCAGCTGGTGTACGACCGGCGCCGGGCCAAACGCGAGGCCACCCTCCAGGACCCGGAGGGCTGGTTCTCCCGGCGGCTGGCGGCCTACCTGGACGCCGTGAGTCTCGGGGTGCCGCTGACGGCCGTGGCGGCCGCCGGGCTGGCCATATCCCGCGGCACGGCGCAGCAGCTGGGCCCCGGCGACGGGTCGGCCCGGGATCTGGCCCAAGTGGCCATGCGCCTGGCCGGGCCGATCGCCACCCCGGCCGGCCGGCCGCCCCTGGTCATGAGCACCTCCTCGGCCAAGGAGGGCTACGTGTGGAAGCGAGCCCGGGTGCACGGTGGCGGCGGTGGCGGCGGCGGCGGCAGCAGCAGCCACACTGCCAGCAGCATCGCCGGCGGTGGCAACCCTCCTGCAGGCGCCGGTGACAGCTCGGACGCCGGGTCGGACGAGACAGAGGCGGCGGCGGCGGCGGCGGCGGCAGCGGCAGCGGCGGCAGCAGCCGCCGCCGCCACTGCACACGAGCCGCGCACCTCCCTGCTGGCCGTGTCGGCCCTGGCATCCGGGCAAATGCCCGTCACACACAGCATCACCCTGGCGCCGCCGGGGTTCGAGCATGGGTTCGGCGTGGCCGGCGTCCTGCCGAGTCCGCTGTTGCAGCCGGTCGGCTGTCTGGCCTGCGGTACGGGGGCCTGTGCGGCCGCCTGCCAGCCGGCCGGGCCGCGGCAGGTGATCGGCTTCCCCCGGGCGCCGACCGATGGGCTGGGCGGCCCCTCGACCGGCGGGGCCGATGGGCCTGACATGCAGGCCGACGAGGGGGCCGACCCTTCTGTCATCCGGCGACCGAGTGTCTCCTTTGCCAATGGCGGTGCCGGGCGCAGTGGTCCGTCCTGCCCCGGCTGCGGGGGGCCCCTATGCATGGGGCTTGGTCCGGGTGACGGGCCGGTCGGCCTGTGCGATGGGTGCGCCAGCCAGGTGGGCCCAGGGCGGTCGGATTCCTCCGGGTCCTTGACTGGTCCCGGGTCCGGGGCCTCGGCCACCACATCCATGACGAAGGCCGCCCTGTCGGCGGCCTACTCGCTGGCCACGCTGCCGGTGTCCATGACCAAGCAGCTGGCCACCGGGGCCGGTGGCGCCGGTGGCGGCGGCACTGGCGGCGGCACTGGCGGCCCCGGCAGTGGGAGCAGCAGCCACACCGCCGGCGAGCCAGTCGGCTCGGATGCCGGGCCGCGGGATGTTTCCCGCGTCCGGCGGCTCTTCGCCCGGCCGCACAACGAGGTGGTCTATGTGGCTGGCGGCGGGCTGGTGGGGGCCGGCGGCCCGGCGGCCACCGTGTCCCTGGAGCAGCAGGCCCTGGCTCGGCAGCGCCCGCTGGACCCGGCGTCGATCCCCTACTTCCCCCATTCGACGCCCTTCCACTTCCACGGGCGGCTGGGCATGCATCATGCGCAGTCGCCGCTGGAGCAGGGGGCCTGCCTGGCGCCGGCGTATGCCTCGGCCGGGCGCAGCCGGGTGCCGGTTTTGTCGCCGGTTCCCCTGTCGCCGGTGCCGGCGGCCGCATCGGCGGCTCCTGGTGGCGGGGGCTCCACCGCCTCGGACCAGACGCCCCCCTGGCTCCGGGCGTACCTGGCCCTGTGTCAAGCCACCGGGCGCCTGGAGTATCGGACCTACACCCGGTCGCGTGGGTACCAGGTGACGGCCGTCGTGCCGAATGTGGTCCTCTGCAGTGTGCGCATTGTCAGTGGCGTCAGCGCCGGGGAGCATGCGGCGCACGGGCACCACCGGCAAATGGACCCGGCCTCCAGCAGCCTGTCCAACCAGTCCTCCCCCTCGCTGGTGCATGTCCTCCCGGGCGAGGGGGCCGACCCGAGTGCCGGGGTTCTCTCCCCGTCGACTGGCCCGGCTGCCGCGCACCCCTCCCTTTCGTCGTCGTCGTCGTCGTCGTCCTCCTCCTCGTCCTCTTCCTCCTCGGCCTTCATCTTCGAAATCATCTCCCCGCAGGCGTGCGTCGCATCCCCGGGCTTTATCCGCCCCGCCCCCCCCCTCCCCTTTCTCTGCCTTCCCATGGGCCGGCCACCTTGCCGTATTGCTTGCCGCTCACCGCTGATGATCGTCTTTTGCTTGGGCCGCCCTGCCCCGTCCCACTCCCCGCCCCGGTGGACATGCCCTCAGGACGATCACCGTGCAGACGGAGACCGAGCATGAGCTGCGCGACTGGGTGCAGACCATCGAGGAGGTCCGCCGGCAGCAGCTGGACATGTTCCAGGGTATCGAGCGTGCGTGTCTTTCCCCTGCCCCTGTGTGTCTCTGTGTCTGCGTGCTTTCACGTTCGTGTGTTTTCATGTCTTTGTGTCCAGCTGTGTCCAGCTGTGTCCAGCTGTGTCCAGCTGTGTCCAGCTGTGTCCTTCATTCCTGCCCGCTCCCCTCCAGCGACGGACCCGCTCCTGATGTCCCCCTGTGTCCTCCTATGTCCTTCGCGCGTCTTTGTTCCTGGCCCCCCTTCCCCTCCGGCCACGAGCTCACTCCTGCTGTCCGCCCCCCCCCCCCCCCCATCTCTCTCTCCCTCTGACCCTTCTCCTCCCCCGCCCGGCTTGCGCCACAGGTGCGCCCCCGCCGCAGGAGTGCACCCTCGCCGCGTCCGGCAGCCGAAGCAGCCACAATCCCCTGCTCGGGGTGGCGCTCTTGGCCTCGCCGACGGCCTCCATGGCCATCGTCCAGGGGCGCTCCTCGGCCGCGCTGCTGGCCCTGTCAACGGCCCCCTCCTGGTTTAGCGCGCATCTGGCCTCGGATGCCCTGCTAGACTATGACATCGGCGACTCGGTGACCGTGCTCATGTCGGATCTGATCCAGATGTCCGGCGTGAGCAGCGGCCTGCCGAACAACTTCCTCGGGCTGTCGTCCGGCCATGTTGGCGGCGGCCCGGCCGGTCCCGGGCAGTTCCAATACCCGGACCCGCACTTCCTCCGGCTGAACACCGAAATGCATGGGCTCTTCAAGTCCATCCCGCTGCGGGACTTTGTCTTTGACTGTGCGTGCCCTCTCGCTCTCTCTCTCCCCCCCCCCTCACACCGATTGCCCCGGGATGGGGTCTTCCGCGCGCCGCTTGCCAGGCGCGCCCAGCGCGCCTGCCGGTGCCGCGTGGGCCTGAGCCCTGTCCACTGGAGCCGGCCTGCCGGCCGGGCCGGGTCCGGGCAATCGTGCCGGGCTGTGTGTGTGGCATCCTCGCACCCGCTCCTCGCAATGGCAGCCCGACGCTGACGCATGCATTAGCCTTTGTCTGCTCCTGGAAGCGGTCCATCCTGCACCAGGGGCGCATTTACCTCACGCAGAACCGGCTCTGCTTCTATTCGAACATCGTCGGGCGCGTGCGGCTGGTCATCATCCCGCTGACGTCGATCACCAGCATTGAGCTCCGGACGCCGATCATCTTCCACACGGTGGAGGTGACCGTCGGCGGGGAGGACTCCGCCGAGGAGGACGCCCCGGCGGCGCCGACCGCGCCGAATGCCCCGAATGGCGCCGGTGCCGGCAGCGGCCCGGCCAATGGCCCGGCAGCCAGCGGCGACAGCCCGGCCGCCGTGCGCCATGTCTTCGTGGTCCTGCCCCGTGTGAGCAGCCTCCTGTACGAGTCGCTGGACCGGCTGTGGAAGAATGCTCGTAGTGCAAATGTGCGTGCCGCTGCCCTGTCGCGCCGGGGTCTCTCGGGGCGCCCGGCTGCCGGGGGCCCCCCGGGCGTCTCTCGCCTGTCCGCGCCCCCCCCCCCCCCCCCCCCCGCCTCCTTGGCCCCCTGGCAGCTAACCTCCTCCTCTTTCCCGTCGTCACGGCCGCAGCCACTGCCCTACCAGCGGCTCTTCCCGTTGATGTATCAGAATTACCGGAACCTGGGCAGTGCGGGCGGCCCGGCGTCTGGGGCCGGGCCGAATGCAGCGACACCGCCGAGCCTGGGCCTGCCGGCGGCGCCGGAAACCCCGGGCCGCGGCGGGGCCCCGGGCAGCTCCCCCTGGGCGGACACCGGCCTGGCGGCGGCAGGGCCTTTGGCATCCCCGGGGCACCCGCCGGCCGAGGCCCTCGCCATGGGCCCCGGCGCGGCTGACATGCCCGGCACCTGGTCCGAAGCTCCGGAGGCGGGGCCCGGCGGCTTGGCCACCTTCGGCGCGGTGACCGGGTCCCCGGTGCCGGACCCGGTCCTCCCGCTGTCGTCACTGTCGCTGCCGCCGCCGTCAGTGGAATTGCCGCTGGTGCCGATCGAGTCGCACTTGCAGCCCATCGGCCAGAAGCAGGCCGAGCTGGATGGCCTGCTGCTGGACCGGATCTACCCGGTCCCGGTGAAGGTCCTCCATGATCGGCTCTTTGGCGGCGACGCCACCGGCAACTTGATGGGCGTCTTCCACCAGGCACGCGGCGAGGCCGGTACGCATCTTTGCCCGCCCTTTTTTTTTTCGCCCTCCTCGCCGGGCCGCCTGCCACGCGTGGCTTCCCCTCCCCCCCCCCTGTGCCCGGCGGTGCCGCCTCCTGACCTTCGTCGCTGCCTACCTGGCATTCCCCCCCCCCCCCCCTGTGCGCACCATCGACAATCGGCCCGCTTGGCCGGTGCCTCGCCGTGTGCCGGGCGCGGGCAGATTTCCGGGCGGACGCCTGGCGGCGCCTCGGCGCCGGGACCGAACCACTGGCTCGCGTCGTCCGGTACCGCTGCCTTTCGGAGCAGCGCTATCTGTCCCCCAGCCAGAACGGCCGGGCGCTCATGCAGTTCTACTCGCACCATGAGGAGTTCCTGCATTATGTCATCGACGGGTGGCTCTCGAATGAGGGCGGCCCGGGGACGGCGGCGGCGGCGGCGGCCACCGGCCCGGGGCCCGACGGCCAGGCAGACGACCCGGCGGCCGGGCCCCTCGCTGCCTTGGCCCCGGAGGCGGCTGCCGCCCTGCGCGCCCACCTCCACCCCGGCACCCTGCCCGTGGGGGTGGCCTTCCGGGTGAGCATGACCTACATCAGCCTGCACGAGTCGCGCTTGCAGATTTCCTTCGAGCTGTCGGACAATCTGCACCGGCATGTGCGCGACCCGGCCAACGGCCCGCTGGCCAACCTGTTTACCCGTCTGCCGGTGATCTTCGGCTCGGCTCAGCGTGCGTTCTTTTTGTCCAACCCCCCCCCCCCGCCCCCGCCCCTCCTTCCTCCTCGCCCTTCCCCCGGGTGCTGACGCGGTTCTGTGGGCGCCGGGCGGCCCTCCTCCCTGGCGTGGGGTGCCTCGCGCTGGGGGCCGTGCCGGGATCCAGGCTTCTGGCGCCGGCACGCGGCCACCATGCTCAAGCGGTATGTCTTTGACTTGGAGGCCTTCCTGCACATGGCCTTCTCGCTGAAGCCCCACCACCGGCTGGGCTTCCGGCCGATTAGCTCCTTCCGGGTGTCGGTCCCCCCGTCGGTGCCCTTCCTGATGCCGGTGTTCGACAAGCTCCGTCGAACGTTCGACCCGCGGCGGTCTCTGCCGGCGCGCTTGCGCCTGGTCCTGCTGCTGGCCCTTGTCGGGTGGGTGATCACCGGTCTGCTGGCCTCGCGCTTGGGGCAGCAGGCTCGAGCCTGGCGGCGCCTGGTGACGGCGGGCCTGCACCCGGCGGCCGAGTCGCCGGCCCCGGGGTTGCCCATGGCCGGGGACCCCGGGGCGGCCGTGGCGGCGGCCACCGCCGCGGCCGCGGCCCTAGCCGGAGTGGCGGCCGACACCGCCTTCGACCGGTGGTTCGGCACTCGCTATGCCGAGGGTGCCGGCGGGGCGGCCGGGGCCGACTGGGCCATGCCCGACGCCCGGGCCCCGGGTCGCGGCATGCTCGCCGCCGGGCACTTCCCCTGTGACGGCCGGCCCGCGGCCGCGTGTGTCGGCGAGGGTGCCCGCTTTGCGGACCTCCAGCATGTGGGCTGGAGCCCGGCCGTGCGCTTGGCCCGGCCGGCCGAGCCCCCAGGCCGCTGGGCCGGGCTGGCCATGGTCGACACCTGCCCGGCGGCTGGCTGCCATCCCTGTGTCGCTGGCCGGCAGGCGGAGCCTGGCGACGCGCCCACCGAGGCCCCGGCCCATGGGGGGCATCACGACACCGGTCAGGGCACTTCGCCCCCCGGCACCGGGCAGGATGCCCAGCGCCGTGCGGCCATCGGCCTGGCCGAGTCCTCGGTTGCCGGGGAGCCCGACCATGGCCATGGCCCGCATCACCACCACCATCACCACCACTTCCACCACTTCCACCACCACCACTACCATGTGCCGGCCGGGCTGCATCCCGGGGCCCTGGGTTCCGATGGCTGGCGCACGCTCTCCGAAGGGGAGGTGCTGGCCGGTGGGGGTGGCCGGCCGGTCGACGGGGCCCGGACGCCGGCCGACCCGGCGCCGGCGGCCCCCACGGCGCCGGCGCCTCCGCCCTCGGTGGCTCCAGGGTCCTGGTGCTTGGCGGACCTGGTGAGTGATATCAGCCGGTCGCTGACCGACTCGATGGACCCGCCGGCCGGGCTGGAGCTGTGTGTCCTGGCACGGCCATCCCCGGGAACGGCTCTCGGGGCGCTCATCGGCCGCGGGGACCGGCGGGCGGACCACGCGGCCAGCGTGGTGGTCGGCCTCCGCCGGCGCATGTTCGACGCATGCCGGCAGCTCCAGGCCGCCGAGCGCGCCCTCTCGGAATCCGTCTACCTGGAGGCTCTGCTGGCCGAGGTGCGGGACTGCCTGGCGGCCGGGCCGCAGCCCGGCCACGGCCCGGCGGTGGCCACCAATGCCACCGCTGCGGGCATGGCCGCCGGGCTTCCCGGGCTTTCCGGGCTTTCCGGGCTCCTGACCCGTGGCATAGATGCCCTGCTGCCGAAGTGGCGGCCGAACGCCAGCCCGGGCGACATGGCCTGTGCCGCGGCCGTCCACGAGCTGGTCACCCTGTTTGGGCATTCGCTGCAGGAATTGTCGGCCAGCTTGGCCTCCGTGCCGGGGCGATGATGGGTAGCCGGCTCGGCGTGGCCTCCCGGCGGCCCCGCCATGGGGGCGCCTTGTGTCGTCAGAGCCCTCCCGCCCGCGCCCCCCCCCCCTTTTTCCCCCGGCGGCCGACCGGGGGCAAGGCGGGAGGGGCACGCGGAATAAATCCCCTCCCCCCCCCCCGACACGGTGATGGGCTCTTTCTTTCTCCCCCCCCCTCTGATCAAGCCGCCGGCTCACTTTCGGCCACATTATCGAGTGGGCGGGTGTATTGATGGAGGAGTGCGCGCACGCCGGTGGACATCTTCCTTCGCACATGCGTGGGCGTATATATGTGTAAGGCGCCGGGCGGGCGCGTGCCTCGGGGAAGAGGGAGATGGGGAAATCTACAGGGGAGAGGGGGGGGGCGGCGGCGGCCTCAAGCTCGCCGGGCAGCGCCCAGTGGCGGAGGGGCGAGAGAGAGAGAGAGAGAGATGCAAAGGGCAATCCGAGGGATGGGCAGGGCGCGGGGTGTCGCAGGATGTGGACGCCGGCATGCTGCACTTCTAGAGGAAAACCTGCAGCGGGACGAAGCTCTCCTTGACCAGGATGGGCGGGGTGAGGCGCTCACGCGACAGGAACTCCGTCGGGTAGGGGACCAGGTGGCCGCGCACGCCGGACAGCATGAAGAGCACCCGGCCAAGGGGGTCGCTCAGGTCGAAGGCCGCCGGGGAGGCGGGCGGCGGCACGGCGGCCGGGACGGTCGGCGGCTCCGGCGAAGGGGCCGCCGTGCTGTCGTCCGGGTCCGCCACCGTCGGGGCGCGGCCCCCGGCCAAGGTGTCGGCCTCGTCATCCTCGACGTCGGTCACCAGCCCCGGCGCCGGGGCCGGCCGCGGGCTCGAGGGCCGGGGCGATTCCAGCTCCACATGCTCCGGCGACAGGGATGACGCGACGGCCGGCACGACGATCTTGCGCTCGCCGGCGGGCCCATCCCCATGGGCCGGGGCCGTCGGTGGCCACGGGTCGGGCCCCGGGGGCGGCTTCTTCAACGGGTCGCCCGGGCCGCCACCGAAGCCGGGCAGCGAAGCCGGGCCGGCCCCGAGGCTGACCGGGCCTCCGGCCTGGCGCGTGCGCGCGGCGTGCTCCACCACGGCGGCCACATTGCGAATGGCCGTCTGGTCGGCCATCGGCACGGCGCCCGGGGTGGATCCGATGCCACGCGGGCCGATGGGGCCCGGCGGGCCGACCCCGGCACGCAGGGCCGCATCCGACGGCGACACCGAGTCGGGAATGGTATCCAGCGAGGGGTCGCTGCTGGGGGGCAGGTCCTCCGGCACGGTGCTCAGCCCGGCGCCGGCCGGGGGAGGGGTCCCGACAGGGGTGGCCCCGCTGGCGGCCGCAGGCCCAGCCGGGGCCGCCTCCGTCCCTCGACCGGTCATCTTCGACTGGCGCAAGGTGGAGATGACCGCCGGGCCGAACTCCGCCACCGAGGTCGACACGGCACTGGCCAGATCCCCGCAGAAGCGGTGGTACTCGTCCCAAGTGCGCACCGCGTCATCCGGCACACAGCGGAAGACGTCGCGGTAGATCCGGGCATTGCGCTGCGACGTGTGCAGCCAGATGCTGGCGAAGAAGTCCACATGCACCGGGTCCAGCAGTCGCGGGTCGTCGATGCTGGCCATGCCCAGGTGCTCGGCCATCAGTTGCCTGTGTGGTGTAGGTGGCGAGCGGGGGAGCGGGGAGATGTCAGTCAGAGGCCGGCCGGGCGCCAAGAGGCAGGAGCAAGGGGCCATGCATGTGCCCGCGCGAAAGGACCGAGAGGCGCATGCCGGGCTCCCGGCAGGGGGACGGCCGGGAGAGACGACCGGCGCAAGTGGCGAGAGGCCCGACCCCGCGCCAATGCAGCTGACCAGGCCCCCCCGCGCTCTGCTTGCACCCGGGGGCCGGAAAAAAAAAAAAAAAAAAAAAGGACCCCGCCCCGGACGGGGCGCAAGTGGCATGGGGGGACGCACCGGCGGAGCATGGCCGGCACGCGGCCGACCATGCAGTCCCGGCCGTTCATGCGCCCGGGGATGAGGTTGGTGTCCTCGATGCGGAGGACAATTTCCGAATCACGGAAGCCGAGCATGCTTCGGTCGTTGATGTTGGCTGGAGCCCGGAGGGGGCAGGCGCATGTCGGGTGTCAGTGGGCCGCGTGCCGATACCAGCACCGAAGGCAAGCAGTGAGAGGGAAGTGCAGGGGGGGGGGGGGGGGGAGGGGGCAGCCTTGGCCTGGACACAGGCGTGCGTACCGGAGCCAATGAGCGCCACGCGGTCGTCCACCACCATGCCCTTGCTGTGGACGTAGACAATTTCGGTGGCCACGCCGCCGCCGCCCTCCTCCGGCACGCGCTCCCAGTTGCGCAGGCCGCAGAAGGAAATGTAGTCTCGGGCATTGATGCCCCGGCGCTCGAGGCGCGCCAGCAACGATCGCGGCCCGCGCGAGATACTCTCATACTGGCGCTCCATGACGATGCGCAGCGACGCGGCCCGGGTCTCATGGACCCGGCCCTCGAAGGCCGGCAGCAGCGGCAGGATGACATAGATGCGGAAGGCCGGCGCCGGCCCGGCGGCCAGGGCCCGGAGCTCCTCCTCGTCGGCGGTGGCCAGCGGGCGAACCAGCAGCGGCCCCTCGGGGCCGGCATCGCCGCACGCGGCGCACGGGCTGCCCTCGGGGGCCGGCGACGCGGCGGCACCGCCGGCCGCCGCTTGGGCCATGACCGCCTGCCGCAGGCTCGACAGCGACCGGGTGGCCGCCGGGGCCCCGGGCCCGGCGGTGGCCCCAGCACCCCCGCATGCGGCACATGCCGGGCCGACCTCGGCCCGGAGCCGGAGCTCCTCCAGGGCTAGGTCATAGGTCAGGCGGTCCTCATGGGCGCGGACAATGCGCTCGTAGATGGCCCGGCCGATGTGGTTCTCCACATGCCCGGGGATGTCCAGGTCGCTGTCGGCATCCGGGTGCGAGGACCCGGTGTCATCGGTGTCGGTGTCCATGCCCAGGCCCCCGCCGGGGCCATGGGCGAAGGAGCTGTCGCCGCTGGTCAGATCCCCGCCCCCGGGCATGGCGTTGCTGTCTTCCGAGCCGAAGATGGAGCTGGCCCGCGCCGCCGGCCGGCCGCCGGCCGCCGGAATGGCCGCCGAGCTGGTGATGAAGAACTGGTTCTCGATGTAGATGAAGTGCTCGGCGTGCGTGATGGCATGCATGTAGGCCTGGTAGATGGAATTGTCCGTGACCGCCAGCCCGCTGGACCAGCGCCCGGCCGAGCGGAGCACCTGCACCTGGCACGTGGCCGGCACCGGTTCCGTGTCGTACGTGTCGAAGACCGCATCGTCGGCCTCGGCGTCGTCGAACTCCTCGGCCGGGTGGGCGCCGGCGCCCGGGGCAGCGGCCGCGGCCGCGGCCGTGGCCCCGACCGCCGGCAGCCCGGGCGACATGTCCCGCGACCCGGCCACCGACTCCACCGACCCGCCGGGGCCCGCCGCCGCGGCCGGGACCAATTGCGGGCTCGGGGCCATGCCGGTGCTGAGAATGGACCGGGCCGACTGGATGGACCGATTGGACCGGATGGACGTTTGCCGGTGGAGATCGGCCCCGGGCATGCGGAGGCCGGGGCCGGCCGAGGTGCTGGCCCGCCGGGCCTGGGCCCCTGCCGGGCCGCCCGATGGCGTGGCCGAGCCCGGCCCCGGCGAGTTGTCGGCCGTCGGGGCCCGACGCGGGTGCCCCATGCCCGGGGGCAGCTCGCGCATTGGCAGCAGGTACGGCAGGGCCGGGTCATTCTCGGCCTTGTCGGACTTGATGAAGTTCCATCGCTCGATGAAGAGCCGGGCCACGTCACGCGCCGCGGCGCCAGACACGCGAACCGCGATGTCGTGCCAGGGCATCCGGGGAACTATGCGTGTGCGTGCGTGTATGTGTGTGTGTGTGTGTGTGTGCGTGTGCATGCGCAAGCGCAGCAAGAGGAGCGGCCAGCGGGCCGAGGGGGAGTGTGTTCCTGGTCAGTAATGGCGGGGAGCGCTTCCTTTTTTTTTTTCCTACCCCCCTGCTGCCGCCTCCGTGCCCCGGCCAAGCGCACGGCCACAGGCGTCAGGGGCGCGCGCCCTCGCGCCGGAGGACGCAAGGCACGGGGGAGAAGGAGGAGGAGGAGGTGCGGGGGAGAGAGAAAAAAAAAAGACAAAGGAGGGAGCCACATGTGGATGGAGGGGCCAGGAGGGACCGCCCCCTGGCCGTGGTCTGGCTGCCGGCTGCCCCCGGGCGCCGGCCCGAGCACAGGGCCTACGCACCGCGCGTCCGGTCCAGCGAGTCGGAGTAGTAATTCCGCAGCTCGAAGAAGTCCCGCTCAAAGGGATTGGAGTAGTCCTTACCGGGGATCCGGTGGGCCGGGGCCGGGGCCACCGGGACCGGCAGCATGGACCCGGCCGGCGGCCGGTTATGCCCGGCCGGCAGACGCCCGTCAAAGAGCTTGTGCGCGTGCGTGTCATACCGGCCGAAGCACAGGTCGATGCCCCCGAGGAAGGCCACCCGCTGGTCGACCACGCAAATCTTCTCATGGTGCGCCCAGTAGAGGGTCCCGCCAACCTTCGTGTGGTCCGGGTGCCGCATGACGGCGATCGTGCCGCCGAGGCCATGGCCCCCGGCATCCCCGAGCAGCACGCCATTGGTCAGCTCCAGGAGGGACTCCTGGCCGGAGGCGGCGGCCACGGCGGCCGCGGCCGCGGCCGGCGGCACCACCACCACCGACGGCCGCCGGCCGCTGGTGTTTCCGAGCGACGCCCGAAGCCGGGTCTTCGTGTACCAGGAGTTGTTGGCCACCGCGCCGGGGAACTCCTTGTAGATGAGCACACACACCAGGACGCCCTGGGCGGCCTTGCGCGCGAGCAGCCGGTCCAGCCGGTACTGCGGGTAGCGGTTGGGTGGCCGGCGAAGGTGAAGCTGCAGTGGCAGGTCGTCCCAGGGGGGGGGGGGCGGCCGCATTGGCAGGCCATGTCGGCGATACCAGCGGCCGAGGCAGAGAACACCAGGCCAAGGCGGGGCGGCGGGGTCAGTCGTGGAAGGCGCGAGGGGGGGGGGGGCGGCCCCACCGGAAGGGAGGGAGCGGGCCCCGTGCATTTTTCTCCCCCTCCCCTCCACCTCAGCCCGGCCATCGGGGAAAGACACCACGACCAGAGTGCGAGCATGGTCGGGACCGGACGCACCTCCGGCGACAGCCACCAGTCGGCGATGTAGATGCAGGTGGTGGCGCGCTCGATGGCCGCGGCGATGTGCGCAAAGTAGTCATGCGCATCGACGTAGGTTCGCACCGCGGCCATCGGCCGAACCGGGGCGAAGGACCCGAAGGGTTTCGGCTGTGTCCAGATGCTCGCTGCCGGGTGGTGCGGCGCGCCCGGCCACGGAGGGAACACCATGCGCGAGGCACACGGTCAGCAGGGCACCCCAAGGGCAAGGCCCGGCAGGAAGACGGTCAGCGGGACGCCCCCACGGGCAAGAGACCCAGCACGAAGGTGGCTACCACCGACAGGCGCACCGTATTTGAGGTACATCAGCGCGCAGCCCAGGTCGTATGCCTGGCGCTCGGACTCCGTCTTGCAATAGAGGGTACCCTGCGAGGAGGAGATCCACAAGGCCTTGGAGGAGCCGACGATCGACTGCGCGCCCCGGCGCCCGGGGCACAGGACAGACACAGCGGGGGTCAGTCAGGGAAGAGCGCACAGCAGGGGGGGGGGCCGGGGAAAAGAAAAAAAGGACCCCCACCCCGCGCCCGCCCCCCCCGGGCGTCCGCGCGCCAGACGCACCTTGCCGAAGAACGCGTCAAACGAGCTGTCCAGCAGGATCACCTGCACCAGGCGCCGATCATCGATGGCCGCGTAGAAGGCAATGTGGTCCTGGCGGAAGATCATCCACCGGAAGCGAGCTCGCGCGCCGCTGGCCCCGCCGGAGCCGCTCGGGCCGTACGCCAGGCTGGACATGGTCCGGGCCGTGCCGGAGCCCCCGCCCGAGGAGGAAGAAGACCCGGCGCTGCTGCCGCCGAACCAGCTGGACCCGCCGGAGCGCGTCAGCGCATCCAGGTGCGCCACGGAATCCTTGATGAAGTGCTTCCACCGGGTGGGGTCCATGGGCGGCGGCGGCGGCGGCGGCGGCGGCAGGGCAAACATCCCGCCGCCGAGGACCCCCGGCAGGCCGCCGGCCCCGGTGGAGGCCGTGCTTCCGACGCTGGCCACCGACGAGAAGGAGGCCGTGGAGTTGGACCGCAAGCGCCGGGCCATCAGCGGGCCGGTCTTGTGCCGGGGCGGCTTGGCCGTCCCGGGGACAGGGCTCGACCCGGCCCCGGGGGAAGTCCCCCCGCCGGTGGGAGAGCCCCCGGCCCCGGGGGCCGGGCCGGCCGCCGAGTCGGGCCGCTGGCCGGTGCCCATGGCGGCGGCCGGGCCGACCACCGACGAGGAAGACGCCAGGGCCAGCGACGAGGAGGAGGAGGATGACCGAGACAGGGCCCCCGAGCCACCGGTGATCGAGATGGTGGGGAGAGTGCGCGCGGCGGCGGCCGCGGCTGCCACCCCGGCCGTCGACTCGGCCGGCAGGGGCAACGTCCCGCCGGCCGACACCGACAGGGTCCCGGCCGACAGGGTCCCGGCACTGGCCACGGCCAGGGGCGGAGCCGGGGCCGGGCGCTCGCCCGGGGCGCCGGCGCGCGACCCGGGCCCCGAGCCGGCGGCCGTGCCCGCGGCATGGGCCAGGACCGGCTGCTGCTGCTGCAGCAGTAGGTGCTGCTGCTGGCGCATGGTGGCCTGCTGCTCGGCCGACAGGCGTGGCTGCTGCAGCGCGCTGGCGCTGGCGTCGCTCATGGGCGGCAGCGACCCCGGCCCGGGGAAGTGGTGTGCCGGCTGCAGCGGATGGGCCTGGGCTCGGGCCAGGCCGGCCGCTCCGCCGGGGCCGTGGTACTGATAGTCCACGGCCGAGGGGAGCCCGTTGACCGCGGTGCCGGGGAAGTGGCGCTGGGCGCCATTCGGCATTTGCCCATTGCCGCTGCTGCTATTGCCGCTACCGCCGCCGCCCAGTGTGCGGAAGTGCCGGAAGAAGTTGAACCGAAAGGAGGACACCCCCCCGGCGATCTTGACCCACGACTCGTGGCTCTTGGCACTGTAGTCCGGATCGAAGGACATGGGGCTGATCTCGAGGAACTCGCACAGGACAAGCTGCACGTTGGGGTTTGGGATCAAGAGCCGTGGCCAGTGTGTGTGTGTGTGTGTGTGTGTGTGTGTGTGTGCGCGCGAATGTGTGCGAATATGTGTGAATGGGTGCGAATGTGTGTGTGTGTGTGTGTGTGCGTGTGCATATGCGTAACGAGCAGATGCGCGATGTGTGTGTGCACATGCGCAACGAGCAGATGCGCGATGTGTGTGTGCACATGCGCAACGAGCAGATGCGCGATGTGTGTGTGCACATGCGCAACGAGCAGATGCGCGATGTGTGGATGTGTGCACATGAAAAAAGGAAGCAGGGTGGCAAAGATATGCACGTCAGTCTCCAGGCAACGGCCGAGGAGGGCAGGCGTGCGGACAAGCGGCAGGGCCCCATGCGCACCTTGGCCTGCGGGGACAGCTGGCACCGGAGCAGGGCCGTCAGATACCGCAGGAGGTTGGCCCGGGTCCGGTGGATCTCGGATGTGGCGTGGTTGAGGTTGTCCAGGAACTTGGCGTGCGAGTCGGCGGCAGCGCCGCCGCGGCGGCCGCCGGAGCGCCGGGCCCGGCCGGTGGCCGGGACCGCCGGAGCCGCCGACCCGGCCCCCGGGGCCGTGGTCGTGGCCGCGGGATCGGCATCGGAGCCGGAAAAAACGCCGAAAGAGTAGGGGAAGTCGCGGTGCTCGTCCTCGTCCTCCTCCTCGTCTTCCTCGTCCTCCTCCTCGTCCTCCTCCTCCTCCTCCTCCTCGTCCTCCTCGTCCTCGTCCTCCTCGCCCTCCGGCAGGTAGGGCGGAAGATCTTCATCGAAGTTCATCCCCAGGGGCGGCAGGGAGAAGGCCCCCGGGCCGAGACCGGCGCCGGGGCCGCCCCCGGTCGGGCCCTTCTGCGGCAAGTGGCTGCGGCCGCGCTGGACCACCTGCAACCACTTGAGCCGCGAATGGAGAATGAGAAAGTCGCGCTGACGCCGGCGAATGGACCAGGAAAAGCACTTCTGCGACAGGGGCGCCAGGCGCCGGTCGGCCGGGTGCAGCAGCGCCGTTTCCAGGGCCACCGCCGCCGTGGAGGAGGCCGCCGGCAGCATGACCCGGCTCCGGTACTGCAAGTGGATGGTGAAGAGGGTGTGCGATCGGAAGGACCGCGCCTGGCGGAAGACCTCACACGCCCCCATGGACACATGGATGGCCGGGAAGGTGACCGGCACGCCCGGGGTCGGGGCGTAGGGGTGCGGCGCGACCCGCGGCGCCGGGGCCGGCCCGCTGGAGGGGCCCGCCGCATGGGTCCCCCGGAAGGGGGCCAGCGACCGGCCAACCATGCCGCCGACCGCGGCGCTGACCGACGCCGCGCGGCTGGTGACCGCGTGCGCGGCGCCGGTTTTCGGGGCCGGAGCCGGGGCCGGGGCCGGGCCCGCGGTCGGGCCATCCGGATCGGCATCGGCCCCGGGCCCAGGCCCCGGCGTCGAGGAGGACGAAGTCCCGGTCAACAGGGACGTGGTGGCCGAGCGGCCCCAGCGCACCAGGGCCGAGGAGGACTTGGAGCTTTGGACGGCGGCCGTGGGGGTGGTGGGAGCCGTGGCCGGGCTGCTGCTCATGGCATCGACATCCTCCTGCGAGGGGTCCGGCATGTCGACAAGGCCCCCGGGCCCGGCGGGGCCCACATCGATGGCGAGCCCGGCCGGCCGCGGGGCCCCGGCCACCAGGGGCGAGGCCGACCGCGACCCCGGGGCCGACAGGGCGCCATGCTGCTCGGCCGATCCGGGCGGCGGCGGCGGCGGCGGCGGCGGCGGCGGCGGCGGCGGCGGCGAAGACACCGCCACCGAGGAGGTTGTGGCCGCCGTGGCGGGGACATCGCCGGCCGTGGCCGGCCCCTGCCCGGATGGCGGCAGCGTGCTGGTGGTGACCGTCAGCCGGGGGGTGTCGGAGCGGGCCGACCGGGCACGGCCGCCGGCCGGAGAGCCTGGCGCCGGGTCCGGGCTGTCGGCCGATGTGCCGGGCCCTGCGGGCTCCTGGCCCGGCCGGCCGCCGAAGGTGTACCGGCGGATCCACCGCCGGGCATTGGCACTGAGCTTGGCATTCATGCTGGGGCCGGAGGAAGAGGAGGAGGAGGGGGGCGTGGTGGCGGCGCCGGCGGATGCCCCGGGCATGGGGCCCAGAGGCCGGCGACAGGCCAGGCAGGCGGGCCCGGCAGCCTGGCCCACCGCGTCGGGGCCCTCCTCATCCGAGCGACAGTAGTCGGCCTCCTCGTCGGAGGTGCCGCGCTCGTCCTCGAGACAGGTGGCGCAAAGCCCGGCCGGCGGGGCGCCCGGGCCGGCGCCGCTCGGAGACACCGGGGCCGGGCCCGGGCCCGGGCCCGGGCCCGGGCCGGCGCGGCGCGCAGCCAGGCGGTGCTCCTCGCGGGCCATGCGCCGCGCGTGGGCCCGCTGCCGGTGCTGGTGCAGGAAATTCAAGTGCGACGCCACCAGCGACCCGAAGAACATGCCCACCGCCTCGGAGGCCGGGTCGTACAGGCGAACGGCCGCCGATCGCCGGGCCGCCGACATGGGGCACAGGCTGGGCCCCGGGCACCGGGGCCCACACAGGAACTCCCAGCCTTCGGGCGCGGAGTCGGCCCCGGCGAAGAGGCCCGGCACGTCGAGCGAGGAGCCGGAATCGTCGGCCAGGGCGGGCAGGCTGTGCCCGGCGGCCCCGGCCCCGCCCGGCCCCACCGTCGACACGGTGGAGGTGATGGCCGCCGCGGCCGCCGGCGCGGAGGAGGCCGACCGGCCGACCTGCCAAAGCCGGCGCTTGCGCGGGGTCATGGCCCCGGCGGGGCCCGGCTGGGCCGTCGCCTCCGACGGCGCCTGGCCCGCGTCCGCGCCCGGCGCAAGGGGATACAGGTCGGCCGGGCAGCCGGCCCCGGGCATCGGGGCGAAGGTGCTGGCCGAGGGCACCGCCGCCGCCGGCCCGAGGGCCAGGTGTCCATGGAAGGCGCAATCGTAGTCATCCTCGAAGAGGACAATCGGATCCTCGAGGCTGCCGTCGCCGGCCGCATGGCGCGCCGGGTCGAGGGAGGACCCGCGCCGGGCCCCGGGGCCCGGGCCCCGGCCGGGGTACGGGCCGCTGTCGGGGCCGTCGCCCGAGCGCGCGCGCCGCCCTGCCGCTGACCCGGCATCCTCGAGGGCCCCGGGGCCGGGGGGGTGGCCGCGCCGGCCGGCCCCGGGCCCGGGCGCATGGTACGGGTAATCCGGCGACAGGGGATGTGCGAGGCCGCCATGGAAGTCGAACTCGAAACTGCTGTCCGAAGCGAGGTGGTAATCGAGGACTATCCGCGAGCAAGAGGGGGGGGATGAGGGCCAGTCAGCGCATGCACAGCGGGGCGGCGGCGAGGGCGGCGGCGAGGGCGAGGGCGAGGGCGAGGGCGAGGCAGGAGGGACGGAAGAGCAACAGGCAAGGGGG